ATTGTTAGTGAAGTAGCGCAAAAAGCTCGCATTTGCAAAACTCATTCCGTTGCCGGGAATCGAACCCGGGCCTTACGGGTGAGAGCCGTAAATCCTAACCACTAGACCACAACGGACTTACCGATTCCCTCATTGTGCCTGTTTTTGAGCACTTCTTATCGTTTCGCTATTTCTTCATACTCTGAATCATTGCCAGTAAAATAGTTCGAAAGAAATAACGGGGAATCCAGCTCGCACTCTACGATAAAGTGAAAAAGCGCCTTTAACAGAAGATAGACGGATCCTCGGTAGTATAGTGGTGAGTATCCGCGTCTGTCACATGCGAGACCCGGGTTCAATTCCCGGCCGGGGAGAATCTTTTGCTCCTGACACAATGAACACTTCCAAGCGCTGAGATAAAAACGCTCTGATAGAAAGTTCTTTTCCATGATTTTCCTTTCCTCCACAAACATTGGCCAGCCCATTAAGCATTGTTAGTGAAGTAGCGCAAAAAGCTCGCATTCGCAAAACTCATTCCGTTGCCGGGAATCGAACCCGGGCCTTACGGGTGAGAGCCGTAAATCCTAACCACTAGACCACAACGGACTTACCGATTCCCTCATTGTGCCTGTTTTTGAGCACTTCTTATCGTTTCGCTATTTCTTCATACTCTGAATCATTGCCAGTAAAATAGTTCGAAAGAAATAACGGGGAATCCAGCTCGCACTCTACGATAAAGTGAAAAAGCGCCTTTAACAGAAGATAGACGGATCCTCGGTAGTATAGTGGTGAGTATCCGCGTCTGTCACATGCGAGACCCGGGTTCAATTCCCGGCCGGGGAGAATCTTTTGCTCCTGACACAATGAACACTTCCAAGCGCTGAGATAAAAACGCTCTGATAGAAAGTTCTTTTCCATGATTTTCCTTTCCTCCACAAACATTGGCCAGCCCATTAAGCATTGTTAGTGAAGTAGCGCAAAAAGCTCGCATTTGCAAAACTCATTCCGTTGCCGGGAATCGAACCCGGGCCTTACGGGTGAGAGCCGTAAATCCTAACCACTAGACCACAACGGACTTACCGATTCCCTCATTGTGCCTGTTTTTGAGCACTTCTTATCGTTTCGCTATTTCTTCATACTCTGAATCATTGCCAGTAAAATAGTTCGAAAGAAATAACGGGGAATCCAGCTCGCACTCTACGATAAAGTGAAAAAGCGCCTTTAACAGAAGATAGACGGATCCTCGGTAGTATAGTGGTGAGTATCCGCGTCTGTCACATGCGAGACCCGGGTTCAATTCCCGGCCGGGGAGAATCTTTTGCTCCTGACACAATGAACACTTCCAAGCGCTGAGATAAAAACGCTCTGATAGAAAGTTCTTTTCCATGATTTTCCTTTCCTCCACAAACATTGGCCAGCCCATTAAGCATTGTTAGTGAAGTAGCGCAAAAAGCTCGCATTTGCAAAACTCATTCCGTTGCCGGGAATCGAACCCGGGCCTTACGGGTGAGAGCCGTAAATCCTAACCACTAGACCACAACGGACTTACCGATTCCCTCATTGTGCCTGTTTTTGAGCACTTCTTATCGTTTCGCTATTTCTTCATACTCTGAATCATTGCCAGTAAAATAGTTCGAAAGAAATAACGGGGAATCCAGCTCGCACTCTACGATAAAGTGAAAAAGCGCCTTTAACAGAAGATAGACGGATCCTCGGTAGTATAGTGGTGAGTATCCGCGTCTGTCACATGCGAGACCCGGGTTCAATTCCCGGCCGGGGAGAATCTTTTGCTCCTGACACAATGAACACTTCCAAGCGCTGAGATAAAAACGCTCTGATAGAAAGTTCTTTTCCATGATTTTCCTTTCCTCCACAAACATTGGCCAGCCCATTAAGCATTGTTAGTGAAGTAGCGCAAAAAGCTCGCATTTGCAAAACTCATTCCGTTGCCGGGAATCGAACCCGGGCCTTACGGGTGAGAGCCGTAAATCCTAACCACTAGACCACAACGGACTTACCGATTCCCTCATTGTGCCTGTTTTTGAGCACTTCTTATCGTTTCGCTATTTCTTCATACTCTGAATCATTGCCAGTAAAATAGTTCGAAAGAAATAACGGGGAATCCAGCTCGCACTCTACGATAAAGTGAAAAAGCGCCTTTAACAGAAGATAGACGGATCCTCGGTAGTATAGTGGTGAGTATCCGCGTCTGTCACATGCGAGACCCGGGTTCAATTCCCGGCCGGGGAGAATCTTTTGCTCCTCACACAATGAACACTTCCAAGCGCTGAGATAAAAACGCTCTGATAGAAAGTTCTTTTCCATGATTTTTCTTTCCTCCACAAACATTGGCCAGCCCATTAAGCATTGTTAGTGAAGTAGCGCAAAAAGCTCGCATTTGCAAAACTCATTCCGTTGCCGGGAATCGAACCCGGGCCTTACGGGTGAGAGCCGTAAATCCTAACCACTAGACCACAACGGACTTACCGATTCCCTCATTGTGCCTGTTTTTGAGCACTTCTTATCGTTTCGCTATTTCTTCATACTCTGAATCATTGCCAGTAAAATAGTTCGAAAGAAATAACGGGGAATCCAGCTCGCACTCTACGATAAAGTGAAAAAGCGCCTTTAACAGAAGATAGACGGATCCTCGGTAGTATAGTGGTGAGTATCCGCGTCTGTCACATGCGAGACCCGGGTTCAATTCCCGGCCGGGGAGAATCTTTTGCTCCTGACACAATGAACACTTCCAAGCGCTGAGATAAAAACGCTCTGATAGAAAGTTCTTTTCCATGATTTTCCTTTCCTCCACAAACATTGGCCAGCCCATTAAGCATTGTTAGTGAAGTAGCGCAAAAAGCTCGCATTTGCAAAACTCATTCCGTTGCCGGGAATCGAACCCGGGCCTTACGGGTGAGAGCCGTAAATCCTAACCACTAGACCACAACGGACTTACCGATTCCCTCATTGTGCCTGTTTTTGAGCACTTCTTATCGTTTCGCTATTTCTTCATACTCTGAATCATTGCCAGTAAAATAGTTCGAAAGAAATAACGGGGAATCCAGCTCGCACTCTACGATAAAGTGAAAAAGCGCCTTTAACAGAAGATAGACGGATCCTCGGTAGTATAGTGGTGAGTATCCGCGTCTGTCACATGCGAGACCCGGGTTCAATTCCCGGCCGGGGAGAATCTTTTGCTCCTGACACAATGAACACTTCCAAGCGCTGAGATAAAAACGCTCTGATAGAAAGTTCTTTTCCATGATTTTCCTTTCCTCCACAAACATTGGCCAGCCCATTAAGCATTGTTAGTGAAGTAGCGCAAAAAGCTCGCATTTGCAAAACTCATTCCGTTGCCGGGAATCGAACCCGGGCCTTACGGGTGAGAGCCGTAAATCCTAACCACTAGACCACAACGGACTTACCGATTCCCTCATTGTGCCTGTTTTTGAGCACTTCTTATCGTTTCGCTATTTCTTCATACTCTGAATCATTGCCAGTAAAATAGTTCGAAAGAAATAACGGGGAATCCAGCTCGCACTCTACGATAAAGTGAAAAAGCGCCTTTAACAGAAGATAGACGGATCCTCGGTAGTATAGTGGTGAGTATCCGCGTCTGTCACATGCGAGACCCGGGTTCAATTCCCGGCCGGGGAGAATCTTTTGCTCCTGACACAATGAACACTTCCAAGCGCTGAGATAAAAACGCTCTGATAGAAAGTTCTTTTCCATGATTTTCCTTTCCTCCACAAACATTGGCCAGCCCATTAAGCATTGTTAGTGAAGTAGCGCAAAAAGCTCGCATTTGCAAAACTCATTCCGTTGCCGGGAATCGAACCCGGGCCTTACGGGTGAGAGCCGTAAATCCTAACCACTAGACCACAACGGACTTACCGATTCCCTCATTGTGCCTGTTTTTGAGCACTTCTTATCGTTTCGCTATTTCTTCATACTCTGAATCATTGCCAGTAAAATAGTTCGAAAGAAATAACGGGGAATCCAGCTCGCACTCTACGATAAAGTGAAAAAGCGCCTTTAACAGAAGATAGACGGATCCTCGGTAGTATAGTGGGGGGGGGGGCAAGCGTTATGGAGCAAAGCTATGCCGCACTCCCCTTCGGTATACCTTGCGGCGCAATTGCGCTGCGTCGCATGTAATTACGCCTGGAGGAGAGCTTGCGTTGCGGATTGGGCCACGCCCCCTTCGCTCCGCCCACATTCCAGCCTCATATGGAGCTGTGCATGCCCGACGCAATGTCCGATGAAATCTTTATGTGAAAGCAGCAAAAAAAGGGTGTAAAGGGAAAAGGAGATCAAAAAAGGAGATGAAGGCGCGAAATCAATTCACAAACATATAAAAGGTGATCTGATGGTGGTATCACATCAGTCTCAGCAGTTTCTCTTTTATTTCTGGCCTTTTTTTTTGTAACCATTGCTTTGCATTCTTCACAAAAATTGTTTGAAAACAGTTTATCTTCGATTGTTTATGGTATCTCACTCTCATTAATTTTTTTCCTAGTATTTTTCTGATGTCAGTTTCTCATGTTATTTTGATATCTAACATTTAATCCTCTTTTGTTTTCATCCTATCATTTGAGAGTATTTTGGTTTCTATCCCTCGTTTGACTACTACACTTTTTCGTCGTATAGTGTTGCTAATCGCGATCGATAGGCTGAACGCTGACCTTTACAGGTGAAAAGGCCATCGTCGCGCCTCGCAATGTGCCCTCAGGACGCGATCGAAGTGATAGAAGAAGGTTTTCGCTGGATAAAGCGAGAAGAAGACATTTTTGTGTATTGATTTTCGAGGATAATGAATATTCTGAAGTGTGGTGCAGGGAAGAGGAGGTAGAGGGAGGAGGGGGAGGGGAATAAGAGGAGGTAGAGGGAGGGGAGGAGGGGGTTGATCGAAAAAAGTTGAAAAAAAATGAGTAGAACTACATAAACACGAGTCTAGAGTCTCGAAATTCATTGATATATATCCAATATAATCTGCTAAGATATAGGTACATACATAGAGCTCAGATGGCTTTGTCTGATGTGTATTTCGACATCTTTCTCAGATAATGCCCAACTTGGACGGTAGTTAGATAAGGGCTGGCTCGAAGTTCCTCAAAAGTGTTCATAGCGCGATCCACTTTTTCACGGCGAATTCTATCGCGCTTCCTCAATGTTCTCCCTTCGCGAGGGTACTGAAAAATGATGTTCGTCATGTTGGCAGAGTAGCTTATAGGCAACTCACCCTTTCCATCCTGGCAAGCTTTGCTTTTGCAACTGAAGTGAAGCTTCTGAACACAAGCAATAGGGATGCTAACGGTGGGTGCTTCTTCATGAGAATCTTCCGTAACCTTCCGTGATAATTCTCTGCCGCATTGGTGGTCCTTTCCTCGTGCACCATGTATTTGCACCACATGGACGAAAATGGTCCCGTAAGCCATGTTTCGTGCAAGTAGGTGAGGAAGTTCAGGCAAGCTCGAAAAGCGGGATGAGTCTCGTCTACCGGTGGTGTGCGCAGGGCATTTACTAGATAGAAGCAATTTCTCGGGAGGAAAGGTAGACCCTTCAAGGTCCGCCACCATCGGATTACCCCGCGATTGCGATTATCCCCTTTCAAGAATTGCAGTAAGCCCAGGCTGTTGCGTTTCCTAGCCCATGCTTGAGATAGATGCCAGGAACAGCCTTGAATAGAAAATCGGGGGAAAACCCTACGGGCCGCATTGATCGCGGCCATCTCAAAATCCACAATGAGTCTAAATTGTGCAAGTTCCCCAGCATTCGTGTCGGCTCGCAGAAGCGCTTCTTTCAGATTCTCGAAGATAACGATGTAATCTTCCTCCCTTTTGTGTCGGGTGATGACGAACATGATCGGGACTTCTATCCCACCTCTACAGACGCCGTGAATAGTGTAGACTTGGCCCTTTTCGACACGCACATGAGATCCGCGTTTATTACGCGGATTGAGTTGATGTACGCCATCCCCTATTAAGGCATAAAGTCCGTTATCCATTGCGCGCTGAACTATCTCGTCTGACATGTAGATATGCATGTTGGGTTCCTGTAGCTTTAGAAATGCACTTCCGTCGGGTAGATTCCGTAGCTGCTCAGGCACGTGTTCCATGTCAACATCTGGGATGGTCATCTTGACGGCCCTGCTGTATGCGGATCTTCTTGATTGGTAGCCTTTCCTGCAGAAATGTAGCAGAACTGTCAGTTGCTTTTCCGCGTCTTCCCAATTTAGCGTTTCGATCTGGTTGACTACGCCTGACCAGTAGCTTATCGAGGGCAGCAATGAAGCATTAGGGTTTCTTCTTACGTTTTGGAGACACTGAAAAGATAGAACCATACAGTGTTCTCAGACCTCTACCAGGTGGTCTACCTGATAGGATAGCCTTTCTGCCTGATCCCGTGCCCATTCGACCGGAAGGCAAAGATGATTGAGCATTGTGGGGTCTTCGAGGAACTCGTCCCCTTCTACCTGCAATGTCGATGTTCGTGGATGACTACGTGGCTACGTAATATGTTTGCGCTCACCATTACTGCAGTATATTTCCTTAGCTTCTTGCACTGCATACAAACGTAAGAAGAGATATTTTCTCTGGCTGTTCTTCTGGCAAATTGGAAGACATAGGAGCGATGTCCACCGGGGATATTGTATATTAAAACTTTGTGAACTCCTTTTTTGCTTATCTCTTTCACACCTCTATATCGAGGTGCTTCTCTTCTGTTCGGAAATGCTGGCTGAGTCTCTTGTTCCAAGGTTCTTCTGGGTTGCTGAGGTAATTCATGAGCTAAGCCATTGCTCACATTATGGCAAGGGATGCTTCCGTAGTAGTATGCATAAGCCTGATATGGCGGGTGACCGTAGTAGTACTGTTGATAGTAAAGTGTATCCTGAGAGAACACTGGATGAATCATAAACTAAGGGAAACTGAATGCTTACATGATGGTTGTATCCATAGAATTGGGGTAGGGGAACATCATCAGTCTGGTTGAAGGACATTTGTGGTGACTGCGCTAGCTACTATCCAGGAATTTGCAAAACCTTTGCGGATGTTAGTATTGATTTCGCGCTCTTTTTTTTCTCACTTGTGATCTCCGATTTCGCGCTTTCATCTCCTTTTTTGATGTCCTTTTTCCTTTATCCCCTCTTTTTTTGCTGCTTTCGCATAAAGATTTTAACGGACGTTGCGTCGAGCATGCACAGCTCCATATGAGGCAGGAATGTGGGCGGAGCGAAGGGGGCGTGGCCTAATCCGCAACGCAAGCTCTCCTCCAGGCGTAATTACATGCGACGCAGCGCAATTGCGCCGCAAGGTATACCGAAGGGAGATGCGGCACACCTTTGCTCCATAACGCGGCGCCGCCGTATAGTGGTGAGTATCCGCGTCTGTCACATGCGAGACCCGGGTTCAATTCCCGGCCGGGGAGAATCTTTTGCTCCTGACACAATGAACACTTCCAAGCGCTGAGATAAAAACGCTCTGATAGAAAGTTCTTTTCCATGATTTTCCTTTCCTCCACAAACATTGGCCAGCCCATTAAGCATTGTTAGTGAAGTAGCGCAAAAAGCTCGCATTTGCAAAACTCATTCCGGGAATCGAACCCGGGCCTTACGGGTGAGAGCCGTAAATCCTAACCACTAGACCACAACGGACTTACCGATTCCCTCATTGTGCCTGTTTTTGAGCACTTCTTATCGTTTCGCTATTTCTTCATACTCTGAATCATTGCCAGTAAAATAGTTCGAAAGAAATAACGGGGAATCCAGCTCGCACTCTACGATAAAGTGAAAAAGCGCCTTTAACAGAAGATAGACGGATCCTCGGTAGTATAGTGGTGAGTATCCGCGTCTGTCACATGCGAGACCCGGGTTCAATTCCCGGCCGGGGAGAATCTTTTGCTCCTGACACAATGAACACTTCCAAGCGCTGAGATAAAAACGCTCTGATAGAAAGTTCTTTTCCATGATTTTCCTTTCCTCCACAAACATTGGCCAGCCCATTAAGCATTGTTAGTGAAGTAGCGCAAAAAGCTCGCATTTGCAAAACTCATTCCGTTGCCGGGAATCGAACCCGGGCCTTACGGGTGAGAGCCGTAAATCCTAACCACTAGACCACAACGGACTTACCGATTCCCTCATTGTGCCTGTTTTTGAGCACTTCTTATCGTTTCGCTATTTCTTCATACTCTGAATCATTGCCAGTAAAATAGTTCGAAAGAAATAACGGGGAATCCAGCTCGCACTCTACGATAAAGTGAAAAAGCGCCTTTAACAGAAGATAGACGGATCCTCGGTAGTATAGTGGTGAGTATCCGCGTCTGTCACATGCGAGACCCGGGTTCAATTCCCGGCCGGGGAGAATCTTTTGCTCCTGACACAATGAACACTTCCAAGCGCTGAGATAAAAACGCTCTGATAGAAAGTTCTTTTCCATGATTTTCCTTTCCTCCACAAACATTGGCCAGCCCATTAAGCATTGTTAGTGAAGTAGCGCAAAAAGCTCGCATTTGCAAAACTCATTCCGTTGCCGGGAATCGAACCCGGGCCTTACGGGTGAGAGCCGTAAATCCTAACCACTAGACCACAACGGACTTACCGATTCCCTCATTGTGCCTGTTTTTGAGCACTTCTTATCGTTTCGCTATTTCTTCATACTCTGAATCATTGCCAGTAAAATAGTTCGAAAGAAATAACGGGGAATCCAGCTCGCACTCTACGATAAAGTGAAAAAGCGCCTTTAACAGAAGATAGACGGATCCTCGGTAGTATAGTGGTGAGTATCCGCGTCTGTCACATGCGAGACCCGGGTTCAATTCCCGGCCGGGGAGAATCTTTTGCTCCTCACACAATGAACACTTCCAAGCGCTGAGATAAAAACGCTCTGATAGAAAGTTCTTTTCCATGATTTTCCTTTCCTCCACAAACATTGGCCAGCCCATTAAGCATTGTTAGTGAAGTAGCGCAAAAAGCTCGCATTTGCAAAACTCATTCCGTTGCCGGGAATCGAACCCGGGCCTTACGGGTGAGAGCCGTAAATCCTAACCACTAGACCACAACGGACTTACCGATTCCCTCATTGTGCCTGTTTTTGAGCACTTCTTATCGTTTCGCTATTTCTTCATACTCTGAATCATTGCCAGTAAAATAGTTCGAAAGAAATAACGGGGAATCCAGCTCGCACTCTACGATAAAGTGAAAAAGCGCCTTTAACAGAAGATAGACGGATCCTCGGTAGTATAGTGGGGGGGGGGGGCAAGCGTTATGGAGCAAAGCTATGCCGCACTCCCCTTCGGTATACCTTGCGGCGCAATTGCGCTGCGTCGCATGTAATTACGCCTGGAGGAGAGCTTGCGTTGCGGATTGGGCCACGCCCCCTTCGCTCCGCCCACATTCCAGCCTCATATGGAGCTGTGCATGCCCGACGCAATGTCCGATGAAATCTTTATGTGAAAGCAGCAAAAAAAGGGTGTAAAGGGAAAAGGAGATCAAAAAAGGAGATGAAGGCGCGAAATCAATTCACAAACATATAAAAGGTGATCTGATGGTGGTATCACATCAGTCTCAGCAGTTTCTCTTTTATTTCTGGCCTTTTTTTTTGTAACCATTGCTTTGCATTCTTCACAAAAATTGTTTGAAAACAGTTTATCTTCGATTGTTTATGGTATCTCACTCTCATTAATTTTTTTCCTAGTATTTTTCTGATGTCAGTTTCTCATGTTATTTTGATATCTAACATTTAATCCTCTTTTGTTTTCATCCTATCATTTGAGAGTATTTTGGTTTCTATCCCTCGTTTGACTACTACACTTTTTCGTCGTATAGTGTTGCTAATCGCGATCGATAGGCTGAACGCTGACCTTTACAGGTGAAAAGGCCATCGTCGCGCCTCGCAATGTGCCCTCAGGACGCGATCGAAGTGATAGAAGAAGGTTTTCGCTGGATAAAGCGAGAAGAAGACATTTTTGTGTATTGATTTTCGAGGATAATGAATATTCTGAAGTGTGGTGCAGGGAAGAGGAGGTAGAGGGAGGAGGGGGAGGGGAATAAGAGGAGGTAGAGGGAGGGGAGGAGGGGGTTGATCGAAAAAAGTTGAAAAAAAATGAGTAGAACTACATAAACACGAGTCTAGAGTCTCGAAATTCATTGATATATATCCAATATAATCTGCTAAGATATAGGTACATACATAGAGCTCAGATGGCTTTGTCTGATGTGTATTTCGACATCTTTCTCAGATAATGCCCAACTTGGACGGTAGTTAGATAAGGGCTGGCTCGAAGTTCCTCAAAAGTGTTCATAGCGCGATCCACTTTTTCACGGCGAATTCTATCGCGCTTCCTCAATGTTCTCCCTTCGCGAGGGTACTGAAAAATGATGTTCGTCATGTTGGCAGAGTAGCTTATAGGCAACTCACCCTTTCCATCCTGGCAAGCTTTGCTTTTGCAACTGAAGTGAAGCTTCTGAACACAAGCAATAGGGATGCTAACGGTGGGTGCTTCTTCATGAGAATCTTCCGTAACCTTCCGTGATAATTCTCTGCCGCATTGGTGGTCCTTTCCTCGTGCACCATGTATTTGCACCACATGGACGAAAATGGTCCCGTAAGCCATGTTTCGTGCAAGTAGGTGAGGAAGTTCAGGCAAGCTCGAAAAGCGGGATGAGTCTCGTCTACCGGTGGTGTGCGCAGGGCATTTACTAGATAGAAGCAATTTCTCGGGAGGAAAGGTAGACCCTTCAAGGTCCGCCACCATCGGATTACCCCGCGATTGCGATTATCCCCTTTCAAGAATTGCAGTAAGCCCAGGCTGTTGCGTTTCCTAGCCCATGCTTGAGATAGATGCCAGGAACAGCCTTGAATAGAAAATCGGGGGAAAACCCTACGGGCCGCATTGATCGCGGCCATCTCAAAATCCACAATGAGTCTAAATTGTGCAAGTTCCCCAGCATTCGTGTCGGCTCGCAGAAGCGCTTCTTTCAGATTCTCGAAGATAACGATGTAATCTTCCTCCCTTTTGTGTCGGGTGATGACGAACATGATCGGGACTTCTATCCCACCTCTACAGACGCCGTGAATAGTGTAGACTTGGCCCTTTTCGACACGCACATGAGATCCGCGTTTATTACGCGGATTGAGTTGATGTACGCCATCCCCTATTAAGGCATAAAGTCCGTTATCCATTGCGCGCTGAACTATCTCGTCTGACATGTAGATATGCATGTTGGGTTCCTGTAGCTTTAGAAATGCACTTCCGTCGGGTAGATTCCGTAGCTGCGTGTTCCATGTCAACATCTGGGATGGTCATCTTGACGGCCCTGCTGTATGCGGATCTTCTTGATTGGTAGCCTTTCCTGCAGAAATGTAGCAGGACTGTCAGTTGCTTTTCCGCGTCTTCCCAATTTAGCGTTTCGATCTGGTTGACTACGCCTGACCAGTAGCTTATCGAGGGCAGCAATGAAGCATTAGGGTTTCTTCTTACGTTTTGGAGACACTGAAAAGATAGAACCATACAGTGTTCTCAGACCTCTACCAGGTGGTCTACCTGATAGGATAGCCTTTCTGCCTGATCCCGTGCCCATTCGACCGGAAGGCAAAGATGATTGAGCATTGTGGGGTCTTCGAGGAACTCGTCCCCTTCTACCTGCAATGTCGATGTTCGTGGATGACTACGTGGCTACGTAATATGTTTGCGCTCACCATTACTGCAGTATATTTCCTTAGCTTCTTGCACTGCATACAAACGTAAGAAGAGATATTTTCTCTGGCTGTTCTTCTGGCAAATTGGAAGACATAGGAGCGATGTCCACCGGGGATATTGTATATTAAAACTTTGTGAACTCCTTTTTTGCTTATCTCTTTCACACCTCTATATCGAGGTGCTTCTCTTCTGTTCGGAAATGCTGGCTGAGTCTCTTGTTCCAAGGTTCTTCTGGGTTGCTGAGGTAATTCATGAGCTAAGCCATTGCTCACATTATGGCAAGGGATGCTTCCGTAGTAGTATGCATAAGCCTGATATGGCGGGTGACCGTAGTAGTACTGTTGATAGTAAAGTGTATCCTGAGAGAACACTGGATGAATCATAAACTAAGGGAAACTGAATGCTTACATGATGGTTGTATCCATAGAATTGGGGTAGGGGAACATCATCAGTCTGGTTGAAGGACATTTGTGGTGACTGCGCTAGCTACTATCCAGGAATTTGCAAAACCTTTGCGGATGTTAGTATTGATTTCGCGCTCTTTTTTTTCTCACTTGTGATCTCCGATTTCGCGCTTTCATCTCCTTTTTTGATGTCCTTTTTCCTTTATCCCCTCTTTTTTTGCTGCTTTCGCATAAAGATTTTAACGGACGTTGCGTCGAGCATGCACAGCTCCATATGAGGCAGGAATGTGGGCGGAGCGAAGGGGGCGTGGCCTAATCCGCAACGCAAGCTCTCCTCCAGGCGTAATTACATGCGACGCAGCGCAATTGCGCCGCAAGGTATACCGAAGGGAGATGCGGCACACCTTTGCTCCATAACGCGGCGCCGCCGTATAGTGGTGAGTATCCGCGTCTGTCACATGCGAGACCCGGGTTCAATTCCCGGCCGGGGAGAATCTTTTGCTCCTGACACAATGAACACTTCCAAGCGCTGAGATAAAAACGCTCTGATAGAAAGTTCTTTTCCATGATTTTTCTTTCCTCCACAAACATTGGCCAGCCCATTAAGCATTGTTAGTGAAGTAGCGCAAAAAGCTCGCATTTGCAAAACTCATTCCGTTGCCGGGAATCGAACCCGGGCCTTACGGGTGAGAGCCGTAAATCCTAACCACTAGACCACAACGGACTTACCGATTCCCTCATTGTGCCTGTTTTTGAGCACTTCTTATCGTTTCGCTATTTCTTCATACTCTGAATCATTGCCAGTAAAATAGTTCGAAAGAAATAACGGGGAATCCAGCTCGCACTCTACGATAAAGTGAAAAAGCGCCTTTAACAGAAGATAGACGGATCCTCGGTAGTATAGTGGTGAGTATCCGCGTCTGTCACATGCGAGACCCGGGTTCAATTCCCGGCCGGGGAGAATCTTTTGCTCCTGACACAATGAACACTTCCAAGCGCTGAGATAAAAACGCTCTGATAGAAAGTTCTTTTCCATGATTTTCCTTTCCTCCACAAACATTGGCCAGCCCATTAAGCATTGTTAGTGAAGTAGCGCAAAAAGCTCGCATTTGCAAAACTCATTCCGTTGCCGGGAATCGAACCCGGGCCTTACGGGTGAGAGCCGTAAATCCTAACCACTAGACCACAACGGACTTACCGATTCCCTCATTGTGCCTGTTTTTGAGCACTTCTTATCGTTTCGCTATTTCTTCATACTCTGAATCATTGCCAGTAAAATAGTTCGAAAGAAATAACGGGGAATCCAGCTCGCACTCTACGATAAAGTGAAAAAGCGCCTTTAACAGAAGATAGACGGATCCTCGGTAGTATAGTGGTGAGTATCCGCGTCTGTCACATGCGAGACCCGGGTTCAATTCCCGGCCGGGGAGAATCTTTTGCTCCTGACACAATGAACACTTCCAAGCGCTGAGATAAAAACGCTCTGATAGAAAGTTCTTTTCCATGATTTTCCTTTCCTCCACAAACATTGGCCAGCCCATTAAGCATTGTTAGTGAAGTAGCGCAAAAAGCTCGCATTTGCAAAACTCATTCCGTTGCCGGGAATCGAACCCGGGCCTTACGGGTGAGAGCCGTAAATCCTAACCACTAGACCACAACGGACTTACCGATTCCCTCATTGTGCCTGTTTTTGAGCACTTCTTATCGTTTCGCTATTTCTTCATACTCTGAATCATTGCCAGTAAAATAGTTCGAAAGAAATAACGGGGAATCCAGCTCGCACTCTACGATAAAGTGAAAAAGCGCCTTTAACAGAAGATAGACGGATCCTCGGTAGTATAGTGGTGAGTATCCGCGTCTGTCACATGCGAGACCCGGGTTCAATTCCCGGCCGGGGAGAATCTTTTGCTCCTGACACAATGAACACTTCCAAGCGCTGAGATAAAAACGCTCTGATAGAAAGTTCTTTTCCATGATTTTCCTTTCCTCCACAAACATTGGCCAGCCCATTAAGCATTGTTAGTGAAGTAGCGCAAAAAGCTCGCATTTGCAAAACTCATTCCGTTGCCGGGAATCGAACCCGGGCCTTACGGGTGAGAGCCGTAAATCCTAACCACTAGACCACAACGGACTTACCGATTCCCTCATTGTGCCTGTTTTTGAGCACTTCTTATCGTTTCGCTATTTCTTCATACTCTGAATCATTGCCAGTAAAATAGTTCGAAAGAAATAACGGGGAATCCAGCTCGCACTCTACGATAAAGTGAAAAAGCGCCTTTAACAGAAGATAGACGGATCTTCGGTAGTATAGTGGTGAGTATCCGCGTCTGTCACATGCGAGACCCGGGTTCAATTCCCGGCCGGGGAGAATCTTTTGCTCCTGACACAATGAACACTTCCAAGCGCTGAGATAAAAACGCTCTGATAGAAAGTTCTTTTCCATGATTTTCCTTTCCTCCACAAACATTGGCCAGCCCATTAAGCATTGTTAGTGAAGTAGCGCAAAAAGCTCGCATTTGCAAAACTCATTCCGTTGCCGGGAATCGAACCCGGGCCTTACGGGTGAGAGCCGTAAATCCTAACCACTAGACCACAACGGACTTACCGATTCCCTCATTGTGCCTGTTTTTGAGCACTTCTTATCGTTTCGCTATTTCTTCATACTCTGAATCATTGCCAGTAAAATAGTTCGAAAGAAATAACGGGGAATCCAGCTCGCACTCTACGATAAAGTGAAAAAGCGCCTTTAACAGAAGATAGACGGATCCTCGGTAGTATAGTGGTGAGTATCCGCGTCTGTCACATGCGAGACCCGGGTTCAATTCCCGGCCGGGGAGAATCTTTTGCTCCTGACACAATGAACACTTCCAAGCGCTGAGATAAAAACGCTCTGATAGAAAGTTCTTTTCCATGATTTTCCTTTCCTCCACAAACATTGGCCAGCCCATTAAGCATTGTTAGTGAAGTAGCGCAAAAAGCTCGCATTTGCAAAACTCATTCCGTTGCCGGGAATCGAACCCGGGCCTTACGGGTGAGAGCCGTAAATCCTAACCACTAGACCACAACGGACTTACCGATTCCCTCATTGTGCCTGTTTTTGAGCACTTCTTATCGTTTCGCTATTTCTTCATACTCTGAATCATTGCCAGTAAAATAGTTCGAAAGAAATAACGGGGAATCCAGCTCGCACTCTACGATAAAGTGAAAAAGCGCCTTTAACAGAAGATAGACGGATCCTCGGTAGTATAGTGGTGAGTATCCGCGTCTGTCACATGCGAGACCCGGGTTCAATTCCCGGCCGGGGAGAATCTTTTGCTCCTGACACAATGAACACTTCCAAGCGCTGAGATAAAAACGCTCTGATAGAAAGTTCTTTTCCATGATTTTCCTTTCCTCCACAAACATTGGCCAGCCCATTAAGCATTGTTAGTGAAGTAGCGCAAAAAGCTCGCATTTGCAAAACTCATTCCGTTGCCGGGAATCGAACCCGGGCCTTACGGGTGAGAGCCGTAAATCCTAACCACTAGACCACAACGGACTTACCGATTCCCTCATTGTGCCTGTTTTTGAGCACTTCTTATCGTTTCGCTATTTCTTCATACTCTGAATCATTGCCAGTAAAATAGTTCGAAAGAAATAACGGGGAATCCAGCTCGCACTCTACGATAAAGTGAAAAAGCGCCTTTAACAGAAGATAGACGGATCCTCGGTAGTATAGTGGTGAGTATCCGCGTCTGTCACATGCGAGACCCGGGTTCAATTCCCGGCCGGGGAGAATCTTTTGCTCCTGACACAATGAACACTTCCAAGCGCTGAGATAAAAACGCTCTGATAGAAAGTTCTTTTCCATGATTTTCCTTTCCTCCACAAACATTGGCCAGCCCATTAAGCATTGTTAGTGAAGTAGCGCAAAAAGCTCGCATTTGCAAAACTCATTCCGTTGCCGGGAATCGAACCCGGGCCTTACGGGTGAGAGCCGTAAATCCTAACCACTAGACCACAACGGACTTACCGATTCCCTCATTGTGCCTGTTTTTGAGCACTTCTTATCGTTTCGCTATTTCTTCATACTCTGAATCATTGCCAGTAAAATAGTTCGAAAGAAATAACGGGGAATCCAGCTCGCACTCTACGATAAAGTGAAAAAGCGCCTTTAACAGAAGATAGACGGATCCTCGGTAGTATAGTGGTGAGTATCCGCGTCTGTCACATGCGAGACCCGGGTTCAATTCCCGGCCGGGGAGAATCTTTTGCTCCTGACACAATGAACACTTCCAAGCGCTGAGATAAAAACGCTCTGATAGAAAGTTCTTTTCCATGATTTTCCTTTCCTCCACAAACATTGGCCAGCCCATTAAGCATTGTTAGTGAAGTAGCGCAAAAAGCTCGCATTTGCAAAACTCATTCCGTTGCCGGGAATCGAACCCGGGCCTTACGGGTGAGAGCCGTAAATCCTAACCACTAGACCACAACGGACTTACCGATTCCCTCATTGTGCCTGTTTTTGAGCACTTCTTATCGTTTCGCTATTTCTTCATACTCTGAATCATTGCCAGTAAAATAGTTCGAAAGAAATAACGGGGAATCCAGCTCGCACTCTACGATAAAGTGAAAAAGCGCCTTTAACAGAAGATAGACGGATCCTCGGTAGTATAGTGGTGAGTATCCGCGTCTGTCACATGCGAGACCCGGGTTCAATTCCCGGCCGGGGAGAATCTTTTGCTCCTGACACAATGAACACTTCCAAGCGCTGAGATAAAAACGCTCTGATAGAAAGTTCTTTTCCATGATTTTCCTTTCCTCCACAAACATTGGCCAGCCCATTAAGCATTGTTAGTGAAGTAGCGCAAAAAGCTCGCATTTGCAAAACTCATTCCGTTGCCGGGAATCGAACCCGGGCCTTACGGGTGAGAGCCGTAAATCCTAACCACTAGACCACAACGGACTTACCGATTCCCTCATTGTGCCTGTTTTTGAGCACTTCTTATCGTTTCGCTATTTCTTCATACTCTGAATCATTGCCAGTAAAATAGTTCGAAAGAAATAACGGGGAATCCAGCTCGC